ATTTATGTCTCGACCTGTAACTCCACACCCCATAGAAGTACTTTTCTTCTAAAATCGACTCTCTGGGCCTATCAATTTTTTCGCGGTAGACGGGCATCGCTGTTCGGAAGTTTTTCGTACAGAAGGTTTACTGTATTTAAGTCATCAACAAATATTTCATCATCCTAAATCTTATTTTTCGCTTTTTATACCTTCCATTTCTCATCAAAATTCTATGTTTATTTGCAAATTCTGTCCTTGTTGGCCTCATAAAAAACCTCGCCCTTTCATCGTTCCATCTCTGTTTTCGTACTGCTTGCCCTTGCAATCACTTGTAGTCAGAATAAAAATGGGGTTTTGCTTCGTTTTGAATCGTTTAGGGGCTACAAAATTTACAAGGGCAGTACCCCACGTGCGACTCTCAGATTTTGATGAATCAAGGCGCAAATTCAGAATATTTTTTTCTAAGAGATATGCGAGAATCCTAGCTCGCGCTTTGTAGGAACAATCGAGATTTTTAGATCGAAATTCGGCGAAAAATTTGGCAAGTTTTGCCGAACTTCTGGCAGCTAATTTTTACATATTCTGAATCAGAAAAAAAACATTTGCGATTTTTTTGAGATATGTCTTGACCTGTAACTCCGTGCCCCATACTTTCCTTGTGAGAAAAAATTATTTCAAATTTGTACCAAGTTTCATCAAAATTTGAGCGTCGCACATGGGCTACTTTCCCTGTCACTTATATTCTTTTAGTTTATCATCTCTTTCTGTCAACATGTACGGCAACCTCGAGTATGAAAAGAAGTCCAAGCCTGGCGCGGTTGGCGAAGACATGAAGGGTGACAAAAATCATGAGGGAAAGATTCCCGGAAACTACAAGGGCCGCCCACGCAACGCCGATCCCAATTTTCCAGGTAAGTTCTCGGCTTTGTTTCACTTGTTGTTTTCAGATCGTCCGAGCGGACTCAATGGACCAAGGAACACATGAAACAGAAACGTGAAGAAGCCCGACAAAAGAAAAATTAATTATGCAATCTCTTGGCCGAATTTGAGTTGGCTACTTTTTTTTATTTTCCGGCCAATTTTAAGATTCATTTTTCCCTAACAAGGGAAGTACCTCATGTGCGACACCCAGATTTTCCTTAAATTTTGCACACAGTTTGGGAATGAACTCAATATCAATTCCTGAAAGTTTTAGCTCGCGCTTTGCAAGCGCCACCGAGATATTGAACCATCTTTGCGGCCAAGAGGGTACACTAAACGCGGAGAGCAGAGAAAAAACATTTTTTGGCCGTAACTTTGCTAGTTTTGAGCGGAAAATTTTGGTTTTCTGTGGAAACATTACTCTCTATGGTAAAAATAGCCATGAAACTTTTCGTGCCGAAACTCGGTAAAAAGTCTCAAATTTTTGCCGACTTTTGATCTAAAAATCTCGGTCGTTTCTACAAAGCGCGAGCTAGGATTCGCGCATATGGGTTAGAAAAGAATATTCTAAATTTGTGCCAAGTTTCATCAAAATCTGAGCGTCTCACTTGCGGTAATTACCCTGGAAGTTACAGCCGATTCGAACGTTTTTATTAACTCCTTCTTTAATATTTGGTTTTTATGGCCGTTGAAATTGTTCATTGTGAAAAATCCCAGAAAATAAAATTCGTCGCGGCAATCAGTATATAAACCGTCACATTGTTCATTGCCTTTCACACAATCAAAAATGAATTTCTTCATTCTGTGTTCTACGATTTTGTTGTTCAAGCCAAAAGAAGACGAAACTATTAGATTTGGTTGAGCTCGAAATAAACCGGCCATCTTTGTGTATCTATTACAAGCAGCTGCTCAAGCTGGTCAGAAGCAAAGTCACCAAAACCAGCGAGGGCTTGGAGTTTACGCTTGTGGTCGAAATGCAGAATACCGATTGCAAAAAAATGGTACTCTTTGCATTCTTATCAACTGTTGAATGCTTGGTGTGTGGTACAAAAAAGTAGAGAATTTGTCGCGCCCCCAAATTCCGTGGCACAGGCAGTGAAATATGGGCTTTTCGAAGAGCGACGCACGGCAAACTGAGGAGTCCGGTGACCGGAATAGACTCTTCGTTATCGGTTTTTTACACTTCGTCTTGATTTCGCAGAGAAAAAGAGAAAAAACACACGCAAAAACGTACTCTCTCGCCCCAAAAATTCCCCATTTCTCCGCCGACAAAACGGTTTTTCGCGTCTTTTTTTTGGCAAACTAACAATCCATTCACCGGACTGTTTTAGCTTATCTCAGTTTGACGTGCGACGTAATTATTGGCGCTACGACTAGGCCAGAGTTAATACACTAATAATAAGATTGATCGGGTCCTATGGCAGTCGTAGTAGGTTATCACATATTTCGAGGTATTTTAAATGTACTGACATCAGTGATGTCTAGATAAAAGTTACGGATCCTTGTTTTTTTCCGCAAATTTGGGTTTTTTATATTACAGTAGCTCAGGGTAAAGAAAACTAGCGTTAGTTATAGCTAAAATTACAAAAAGTGGATTGCAAATCCTCGCCAAGTCTCCGTCAAGCCTTCGCCGACCATCCAACGACTTTGCCAGGCCTCTTGCTAGGCGCTTCCTACAACCTTTTTTCGGATATCCAACTGCCCTAAACCCCTGCCGATCGACTTTGTGTTGATCCGAACTATCGTCGACCCAAAAAGTCGAGGTCTGTCGGGAAAATAATGAGGACAATGTCGCTTCGGCGATCGCGCCGCTGAAGCGAAAAGCAATTTGATTTTGCCGCGACACAATCCATTTTCTCGGCGGGTGCGATTTTCGATGCGACAGGGTGCTCATTATTTTCCCGACAATTGATACTGCTTCAAAAGTTATGGTGTCTCCTGTTTTTCAACCGTAAAAAAGCACCTCTTTCAGTGGAAGGAGTGTAAGCACAAAAAAGAAAAAGAAAGCTGATACCCGGAACTAAAAAGCACATAGAGGCAATTGTGAAAGAAGACAACGATGGAAAATACGAATTCATTGGTGCTAGAGAGATCGGAAAGCCGCCAGCAGATAAATCTTAAATTGCGTTATAAATTGTAATTTGATTACAATAAACTCCATACAATGACATGCTACAGTAACATACAGCCAAAACTTTTTTGGCGTGATACTTCACAGTTGATTACTTGTTTGACATACTGTGAGGCGGAACGACCGAGCTTCGAGGATTTTCCCACGAGAAACTATCTTCACTTTTGCGAGATGGCTGTCTCTGACCATCTTTGGATCAGCAAAAATATTATACGTCCTCACGGGAATAGAAAAGAGCCTTTTATATTTCAAAGTATTTTGGGACAACCCGCTATACAATAAACCTTCTATAGCCAATTTTTTGGCCCGTTGCGACTGGTACAAAATTTCCTTTTCCCAAAACAAAAAACACAAGATCAGGGGACGGCCCACGACCGATCACGATCGGTCTCCCTTGCTGTTTTGGAGTCAGTCTTTAATTTTATGGGCAGCAGGCAACGTCGGCCACTACTCGGCCTTTTATTTTCTCTCCTACAAGGGAAGGGCCCAGATTTTTTTGGCAAAATTCACAAAGCAATCTTGGTGATGGTTTTATTTCACAAGGAAATCACCTCTGCGGGGTCTCGACTTATAGGTCGAGACATATATCAAAAAATCGCAATTTTTTCCTATGCAGAATATGTAAAAGTTAGCTGCCCAATTTTAGTTTGTAAGGCCGGAAACCCCTTTAGAGCTTTGCTAGCAACACCACGCAAATGCCTTTTTTGACCAAGTTTTTATCAATCAAAAGCTTGTTTTTGAGCTAAAGTAAACCCTGACTCTTGACAAGCCTTAAAATATCAAGTTTGATTAATACTACCCTGAATAATAGTTCCAATGTAAAAAAGACCCATTTTTGTGTTGTTATGAGAAAAGTTCCGAGGATTTTTTTGCCGTTACAAACGAGATTGGACAGCTAATTTTTGCATATTCTGATTATGAAAAATTTTGGGATTTTTTGATATATGTCTCGACTTGTAACTCCATACCCCACAGAAGTACTTTCCTTCTAAAATCGACTCTCTGGGCCTGTCAAATTTTTCGTTATAGTCAGGCATCGCTGTTCGGGAGTTTTCTTTACAGAGGGTTTACTGTATTTATATCATCAACCAATATTTCGTCATCCTAAATCTTGTTTTTTGCCTACCATTTCTCATCAAAATTCTGTGTTTATTTGCAAGTTCTGTCCTTGTAGGCCCCATAAAAACACCTCGCTCTTTTATCGATCCTTCTCTGTTTTCGTGCTGCTTCTCCTCGCAATCATTTTTGATCAAAAATAAAAATAGGGTTTGCTTCATTTTGAAGCCTTCAGCGGCTGCAAAATTTACAGGAGCAGCGACGCTCAGATTTTGATGAATCTTGGCCAAATTTAGAACACTTTTTTAAGACATATGCTAGAATCCTAGCTCGCGCTTTGCAGGAACAACCGAGATTTTTAGATCGAAATTCGGCGAAAAATTTCAATTTTTGCCGAACTTCCTGAGCAGCTAATTTTTACATATTATCTTCCCAGAAAAACATTTGCGATTTTTTATATATAAAGGTGGTCATATAAGATCTCGGAATTTTTTTTCCCAAATCGCGATTTTCGGTGCACAAAAAAGTCGACGCCCAAATCGAAAAATTGGCGTCAACTTAATTTTTTCAGCACCGAATTCCGAAATGCGGTGCTGACTTAAGCACTTAAGTCTTCGGTGCAGACTTAAGACTTTGTGCACTGATTTCGAAAAGCTTAGAAAAATTTACCGAATTTCAGAATTCGGTGCCGAGAAAAAAATAAGTCGACGCCAATTTCCCGATTTGGGCGTCGACTTTTTTGTGCACCGAAAATCGCGATTTGGCAAAAAAAAATTCCGAGATCTTATATGACCACCTTTATATGCCTCGACCTGTAACTTCATACCCATAAGTATCATCAAATTCCGAGCGTCACACACGAGCTACTTTCTCTGTCACTTATATTCTTTTAGTTTATCATCCTATCAACATGTACGGCAACCTCGAATATACCAAGAAGTCCAAGCCTGGTGCGGTCGGCGAAGACATGCCAGGGGCGATGAAAGGTGCAAGGGATCATGAAGGCGCGATTTCCGGCAACTACAAGGGCCGCCCGCGCAACGCCGATCCCAATTTTCCTTGTAAGTTTTCGGCTTTGTTTCACTTATTGTTTTCAGATCGTCCGAGCGATTTTAAGACTCCTTTTCCCCTTTTTTGTTTTCAGATCGTCCGAGCGGTGAGGACGCTAAGTCCGTGTCACAATGGACCAAGGAGCACATGAAAAAGAGACGTGAGGAAGCCCGAGAACAAAAGAAAAACTAATTACTGATATCACTTTTTTTTACCTTTTGGCCAATCTTAAGACTTTTTTGCCCTAACAAGGGAAGTACCCCATGTGCGACGCTCAGATTCTGTTTAGATTTTGCACACTAGATATCGGACTAGATATCAATTCCTGAAAGTTTTAGCAGCTCGCGCTTTGCAAACGCCACCGAGATTTTGGCCATAACTTTGCTAGTTTCGCGCGGAAAATTTTGCTTTTTTGAGGAAACATTACCCTCTGTGGTAGAAATATTCATGAAACTTTTCGTGCCGAAACTCGGTAAAAAGTCTCAAATTTTCGCCGACTTTCGACGTAAAAATCTCGGCCGTTTCTGCAAAGCGCGGACTCTCGCATATGTCAGTATGAAAAGATTTTTTAAATTTGTGTCATGTTTTATTAAAGTCTGAGCGTCGCACTTGGAGTACTTCGCTACTTCGCCTGTAAGTTACAGCCGATTTTTGTTTTTATTAACTCCTTCTTTAATTTTGGTTTAATGGCCATTGAAATTTTTGATTGTAAACAATTCAATAAAATGAAATTCATCGTATCAATAATTATATAAACTCTCGCATTTTACTTCGATTTTTGTTAAATTTATTCCTTTAATTTTGTCGAAATTGCCTTTGTTTCGGTATAAATTGTATTTTAAAATCGCATAAAATTGAATGTCTTTTTGGACATCCGTAACATAGAGTATAAAACGGAGCCCTCTCCCAGCCTTTATCACATTCCAAATTCAAAATATGAAACTTGCCCTACTGTGTCTGGCTACTTTGTTGTTTTCCGCGGCTGTTTTTGCTTCGGAAGCCAAGCCCAAGAAGCTGTCAAAGCTGTTGGATTTTGTAGAAGTCGAAATAAATCGAAGATTGCTTTGCCCTTACTACAAAAAACTCGTGGAGTTATATAAAGCACGCGCCGAAAAGGAAAAAGACGGGCTGAAACATGTGGTCCAAGTCAAGATGCTAACTACCGATTGCTACAAGGCAAGTCTTTACAGTAAGAAGAACCTTAGTTAGTAGAAATAATAAGATTGATTGGGTCCCAGGATAGTTTATCATCTATATATTCTGAGTAATCTTACATGTAGTCACATCAATAATGTCTAGATAAAAGTTACGGAGCTTTTTTTTGCCGCAAATTTTGGTCTTTTAAAATATATGTTACAATGACTCAGGGTAAAGAAAACTAACGTTAGTTATGGCTAAGATTATAAAAATTTGACATATTGCAAGTCCACGCCAAGTCTCAGCCAAGCCTTCGCCGAGTGTCCGCCGATCATCCAGCGGCTTTGCCAGGCCTCATAGGCACCTCCTGCAACCTTTTTTCGGATATCCAACTGCCCTAAAACCCGTCCGATCGGTTTTGTGGTGTTGACCCGAACTGCCTTCGACCCGAAAACTCGGTGTCTGTCGGGAAAATAGTGAGCGCTGTCGCTGCGTCGCTGACGTAGAAAGCAATTTGATTTTGCCGCGATGATTCACTTTCTCGGCGGCGAATTTCGATACGACAGAGCGCGCATTATTTTCCCGACAATTGATACAGCTTCAAAAGTTATGGTGTCTGCTGTTTCTGAACCGTGAAAAGGCGCTGCTTTCAGGGAAAGAGGGACTGTAAACACGAAAAGAAGAAGCTGATCCCCGGAACTGAAAAATACAAAGAGGCAACCGTGAAAGAAGACAACGATGGGAAATTTGAATTCATTGGCGCTAGAGACATCGGAAAGCCACAAGCAGATAAATCTTAAATTGTGTGTTGGAATGTAATGTGATGACAATAAACTCCATGGAGACATACCGCAAGTTCGAATCCGCAAGTTCGAATGCCTAAAGTTCGAATGACTAAAGTTCGAACGACCTCCAGTTCGAACTACCTAATCTTCGAATGACCGTAACTTTGAATAACCTAAAGTTCGAATGACTAAAGTTCGAAAATGAAAAAAAAGTTAATTAATATTTAAATTATAATTTGCATATAATTATTTTGCAAAATACACTTCCTCTTCAATCATTCATTCATCCTTTACGATGGAGGTTGGTTGTCCGAACACTCTGACCGGCAACGAACGCGCTGTTCTTCATGTCGACCTGGTCAATATTCGTCATGGAGCCAATCCAACTGTGTCTTTCTCGGTTTGGGTTTGTCGAACTGGATTAGGTTTGTCGAACTGGAGGTCGTTCGAACTTTAGTCATTCGAACTTTAGGCTTTCGAACTTGCTGATTCGAACTTGCGGTGGGTAACCGTTTTTTGGATACCAAAAAAAACGGCTTTGCGAGCAGAGCAGCAGTTTTTTTTCACAGGGCAAAAAAATCGCGTGTGAGGCAGATTTAAACTTGGGGTTTTTCGAACTTGCGGTAGGCGTTCGGAGACCCACCGCAAGTTCGATTCTTTTTTTCATTCTGCATTTTTTATATTTTCATATTTCGAACTTCCGGTTTTCGATCTTTTGGTTTTTCTAATTTGAGGTTTTTCGAACTTCTAGTATTCGAACTTGCGGCATTCGAACTTGCGGCATTCGAACTTTTGGTTGTCGAACTTGGGGTTTTTCGAACTTCCGGTAGGCGGTCAAACTCGATGACATGCTGCAGTAACATACAGCCACAACTTTTTTTTGCGTGGTACTTAACAATTGATTACAAGCTTGACATACTGTGAGGCGGTACGACCGGGCTTCGATTTTCCCACGAGGAGCGATCTGCATTTATTCAAATTTGATTGTACTTTCCTACGTGGCGCTTCACTATAAAAGACCTCCTTTCCACTGAATAAATCACTGTCACGACTTCGCGTGCGAATTTGCATATTCCCACGGAATGACCGACAAATTGGTATAAAAAGAAGAGAAATCGCCAATTATTTTTGTGTCTGTTTTTCCCGGTTGGATGTTTGCAATAAATCGTATTTCTACTGTAGTCTATTAGTATTGTGTTGTGGTCACATCGTCTGGAGTCCATCGTCGTAAGTTCATATTGAAGTTGTTGCCTAGGGCATAGTTAGTTGTATTGTCGCTTGTTTGTGTAGTCGTTGTCGTTGTATTCGCATAGGGCTGGGATCTTAGGTAGAACTAGATTAGGGACCCTTATTGCTTGACCTATACCAAGGTCTTGACATCACTTGACTCTTGAGCTCTAGTCTTGTCTGGTTACTGGGTTATCGGGCCTTTCGACACATACTAAAAGAGGAACTTTATGTAGACGGCGGCAAGATCAGTCATCGGGAAAATAACGGCGGATCGTCAATGAGGAGACCCGCAAATCATCGCTTTGCGACGGCTGCCACAGATGCGATTTGGTGCACCTTTTTTCGACGAGGCGAAACATTTCGCTGCGAAAGACGTCCGGGAAAATAACCCGCCGTTATTTCTCCGACAGAGTAGTATTGAACACATTTTGCAGCCGAGAGACTTCGCGAAGCGCAGAGAGCGGTCAGAGAAAAATACTTTTTTGGCCGTGTCTGCCATATTGTCTCGAAAAAGTTGTTTTTTTGTGTAGACACATTGCCCTCAACGGTAGAAGTTGGCGTCTTCCGCACTAAATTTGCCTAGAGAAAACTCGTTGTACTTTGGTTTTAGTTAAATTTATTCCTTTAATTTTGTCGAAATTGCCTTTGTTTCGGTATAAATTACATATATTTGTAATTTATACGAAGAAACTCAGATAAAAACCGTTATATAGAGTATAAAATGGGGTCCTCTCCCAGCCTTTATCACATTCCGAATTCAAAATATGAAACTTGCCCTACTGTGTCTGGCTACTTTGTTGTTTTCCGCAGCGGTTTTTGCTTCGGGCCAAGCCCAAGAATCTGTCAAAGCTGTTGGATTTTGTAGAATTCCAAATAAATATAAGATTACGCTGCATTTACTATAAAAAACTAGTGGAGCTGTGTAAAGCAAGCGCCCAGATCGAAGGAGACGGGATGAAACATGTGGTCCAAGTCAAGATGCAAGATACCGATTGGCAAGTCTTTACAGTATGACGGCGGAAAATACCAGTATGTCGGGAAAATAGTGAGCGCATCGAAAAGCGCATCGCCGCCGAGAAAACGAATTTGTCGCGGCAAAATCAAGTTGTTCTTCACTTCAGCGACGCGATTGGCGCAGCGAGATTGTGCTCATTATTTTCCCAACAGACTAATATTGATTTAATTCACAGTAAAAATTGCAGAGCAAAGATTGCAAGCATAGGGAAGTCCATCTAACCCCGGGCACGGAAAGCTACATTCAAGCGATCGTCAAGGAGCACAAAGACGGAAGCCTCGAGTTCATCGATTTTAAAGCCATTGAAAAACCGAAGGGAAAGCATTCTTAAAACCTGATTCGTCTTTATAACTTTGAAAAACAACGAGTTTTGAAGATTGACTAATAAAGTAATGTGCAGATTTTGGCATAGAAGGGCAACTATATAAGTAACGCGAGGTGTCAGTGAAGTTCTCAAAGGGCAATTTGATGTTGATTTGAGAGTTTTAACATCCGTCCATATTGTCGCGGCCAGCGAATGACGTAAGTCGGTGGCGGAGTTACCGCGCATAATTAAACCCAAGTCCTAGCGCCTCGATCGAAAATCGAAGAGAGAGGGAAAACCGATGAAGACAGCCGGTTGCGTTGGCAACATAAATGTAATTGTTAACAGGTATGGATATTTGAGTATTGTCTAGTAAAGGGAGACGCCACTCGGGCACGTGGAAGGCGGCGAGATACCTGGCCCAGAAGGCTAGGTCAATCCATCGGTCAGCCCCGATCATCCTAAGGGAGGGAGGGGTTCAAGGCTCGACAAATCCACACTATTTTCTCGACAGACTGATACGTTGACTACATCGCTCTGTTGCAAGTTCAAAGGAGCAGAAAATACATGTATAAGGTGCTTTGAGAGTTTTGACATCCGTAACATTTCAATAAAAGCTGTTGTGCTGTAGAGCAGTCTTGTTTTAAAAAAATTAATGTGGCTTAAAAATCCATATTTCAAAAATTAAGTCTCTGCGCAACCCCCGCCTGAAGTTATAGCCTCTGACTTTCCTTCACATTTCTTGAAAGGCCCTACTGTGCAGCTCTTTGGTCGGAGGTTCAATTAACATACAACAATTTAAAATACAGTCATTACTATTTTTAATCAAAATGAGAAATCTTTATTTCTTTTTATGGCCATAAAATTGCTGATTATATCCAGACACCTTCTTATTAAACCCGATATTAAAGCAGTCGAAGAGCAGTTTGTCAAATTTTACAACCATGAAATTTGCACTTGTACTATTCTTCTCTCTGATTGCATTTGCCGTGTCAACTCACCCCCTTGACCCGAACAGCAAGCTCGGAAAGCAGTTGTTGGATTTGACTGAAGAGAGAATCAACCAGCAAACCAAACGCTCCTATTACCAGAAGATCACCAAGTTCATTGACGGTACAATTGCCTATGGAGATTTGCTGATGTTTGCCAAGTTTCGTATCGAAATGGCGGATACAAACTGCTTGAAGTCTAGGGTAAGAAGACCATAGAGATATACCAGGGTGCCGGGAAAATAATGAGCACTGTGTTGCATCGAAAATCGTATCGCCGTCGAGAAAAGCCCCTTATCGATCGATTTTGTGTTGACCCGAACTGTCGTCGAATTGAAGAGCCTAGACGCGGAAAAGCTTGGTATAATAATTAAGGCCAGAGATTGCCACGGCTCCGGAGCCGGCTCTTGGCTCCGGCTCCTGAGCCCAAAGTCAGAGCCAGGCTTCTCAGCGTTCAGCAATTTTGTGATCTTGTTAAACGAACTTGCTTGAAAAATACTGGGAAGGATGTGTTGCGTATGACCTGCTAACAAGAGTCTTGTAAGAGCCGGAGCCGAAATTTTGACCGTGGCAATCTCTGATCAAGGCCGAATTGGAACAATACGGACTTTTGAGCCTCTGAAAACCATAGCCTGTCAAACTTTACTATAATTGCAGAAGGATTGCAAGACCGCGGCGAAAGTGACCACCAAAGAGCGGCACTACTACAAGGTGGAGATTCAAGTTTTTCGGATGGGAATCGAGCAGTCTCAGGTCTCCTTCCAACCCATTCCAAAGCCGGACATGTCAGGAAGGTCGACCACCATTTCGATCAGCTGAATACGGCTGTTTTGAGTGATATGTTGATCATGATCAAAACCATTTAATAAATTTTTATGTAATCGTAATTGGTCAAAAATTGTTTGTTACAAAAGGCTCTCCTAAAGTAATTCAAATGTAATCAAATATATCCAGGACCAGTCCAAGGCGCGACGAGTCCACATTATTTTCCCGACCGACTGGTACGTTGAATCACAGTGGTCTTTTGGGGTGAGTGAAGCAGAAATATCCGTATTTCTCACGTTGTACAAAGGCTAATTTCGGATTAATTTTGACTTTTCGGATTTCATCGGGTGTCCGCCATAGACAGGGTTCGTTGTATGAGAGTTCGTGGTGCACAGCCTTCAGCGTAGCCATATATATCTGTCAAGAAGCAGGCTTTGTATTACAGCAGTTTGTTAGATTACAGTCTGTTCGCAAAAGCCGGGGTTGAGAGTTTTTGACATTCCTCCATATCTGTAAAAGTTGTTGTACTATGGAGCTCTTTGAGCGGAAGCTCAATTGATATACTGTTTAAAATACAGTCACTATTATGTTTCATCAAAATGAGAATATTTTATTTCCTTTTGTGGCCATAAAATTGCTGATTACATCCAGACACCTTCTTATTAAAACTCGATATTAAACCAGTTGAAGAGCAGTTTGTCAAATTCTACAACCATGAAATTTGCAATTGTTTTACTCTTATCTCTGATTGCATTTGCCGTGCCAACGGCAGCTGACCCCTTTCAGCCGAACAGCAAGCTCGGAAAGGAGTTGTTGGATCTGACTGAAGAGAGAATCAACCAGCACAGCAACAGCTCCTATTACCAGAAGATCACCAAGTACATTGACGGTGAAATTAAAGGTGGGGAATTGATGCTTCAGGCGAAGTTTCGCATCGAAATGGGTCACACCAACTGCTTGAAGTCTAGGGTAAGAAAATTGTAGAGATATATCAGGCTGTCGGGAAAATAATGAGCACTCTGTTGTATCGAAAATCGCATCGCCGCCGAGAAAATCTACGCCGCTGAACCGAACTGCAACATAAAAATCGTTCTAATTGCAGAAGGATTGCAAGACCGCGGGGAAAGTGACCACCAAAAAGCGAACCTACTACCAGGTTGAGATTCAAGTTTCGTACAGAATCCAGCACTCTCGGGTCTCCTTCCAACCCATTCCAAAGCCGGACGTGTCAGGAAAGTCGACCACCATTTCGATCAGCTAAATACGGCTGTCTTAAGTGATATGCTGATCGTGATCAAAACCATTGAATAAATTTTAATGTAATTGTAGGGAACCGCAAATTCATTTGTTATATAATAAAAGGCTCTCCTAAAGCAATTCAAATGTATTAGTTGTTTTGGTACCTTATACGGAGGTTTTATGTTTCTTGTGAGCTTAGTCTGTCGCGAAATAATGTGGACTTTACACACAAAAATGCCTAGCCTCGTTCCAGTCGCAGGCCAAATCTCCAGGCGTGGCCAGTCGCCGCAAAGCGATAATGGGCCATTTCAAGGCTCGGCAAATCCACACTATTTTCTCGACAGACTGATACGTTGACTACATCGCTCTGTTGAAAGTTCAAAGGAGCAGAAAATATATGTACGTATAAGGTGCTTTGAGAGTTTTTACATCCGTCCATTTCAATAAAAGTTGTTGTGCTGTAGAGCAGTCTTGTTATTTCATAGAAAAGGCTAATGTCGCTTAAAAACCATATTTGAAGTCTCTGCGCCGCCTCCGCCTGAAGTTACAGCCTCTGACTTTCTGTCACATTTCCTGAAGGACCCTACTGTGCAGCTCTTTGGTCGGAAGTTCAATTAACATACAACTATTTAAAATACACATTACTATTTTTTATCAAAATGAAAAAACTTTATTTCCTCTTATGGCCATAAAATTGCTGATTACATCCAGACACCTTCTTATTAAAACCCGATATTAAACCAGTCAAAGAGCAGTTTGTCAAATTTCGGAACCATGAAATTTGCACTTGTTTTACTCTTATCTCTGATTACATTTGCCGTGCCAACGGCAGCTGACCCCTTTCAGCCGAACAGCAAGCCCGGAAAGGAGTTGTTGGATCTGACTGAAGAGAGAATCAACCAGAAAAGCAACAGCTCCTATTACCAGAAGATTACCAAGTTCATTGACGGTACAATTGGCGCTGGAGATTTGCTGTGGTTTGCCAAGTTTCGTATCGAAATGGCAGATACTAACTGCTTGAAGTCTAGGGTAAGAAAATCATAGAGATATACCAGGAAGCCGGGAAAATACTGAGCACTCTGTTGCATCGAAAATCGTATCGCTGTGTAGAAAATGAACCGTGTCGCAGAAAAGTGTTTAAAAATGGTTTTCCCTTCAGCGACGCGAAAAAAACGTGGCAATTAAGGCCGAATTGAAGCCTTTGAGCCTCTGAAAACCAAAGCCAGTTATATGTACAGGCTTTATTATAATTGCAGAAGGATTGCAAGACCGCGGCGAAAGTGACCACCAAAAAGCGGCACTACTACAAGGTGGAGATTGATGTTGTTCCGCCCAGAATCCAGCGGTCTCAGGTCTACTTCGAACCCATTCCAAAGCCGGACGTGTCAGGAAAGTCGACCACCATTTCGATCAGCTAAATACGGCTGTTTTAAGTGATATGCTGATCATGATCAAAACCATTGAGTAAATTTTTAAGTAATCGTAAGGAACCGCAAATAGATTTGCTAAAAAAGGCTCTCCTAAAGCAATTCAAATGTAATAGATGTTTTGGTATCTTATACCGAGATTCTTTAATTATTTTAGTATCAGTCTGTCGGGAAAATAATGTGGACTTTTCGCATAAAAATATCTAGCCTTGTTGCAGTCGTACACTAAATCTTGAGCCGTGGCTAGCCGCCGCAAAGCGATGGTGGGCGATTTCAACGGGCATTCCACATTATTTTCCAGACAGTCTGATAACACTCTGTCGGTGAAATAATGTACTCTGTCACTTCGAAAGTCGCATCGCAACCACGGCCAGCCGTCGCAAAACGGGTGTGGGCGATTTCAACGCGCAATTCACATTATTTTTCCGACAGACTGGTACGTTGAATACAGGTTGTTGTGAGTTCAAAAGAGCAGAAAATTTATGTGTTTGTCCCGCTGTACAGAGGTTAATTTCGGAGCAAATTTTGACTATTCGAAATTGAGCGAGCGGCCGCTATTCTTCGCTGTGTGGGAGTTCGCTGTGCAGAGGCTTCAGTGATTCGATTCAGATTACATGTGTCACTAATCACAGGTAGAAAATCCTGGAGTGAATCAGGATGGTTTCTATTGTCCAGTCAATCAAAAGTCATCCCATCGCTGGCTATAACTCTTTGGTTTTTCGTATCCTTGGGCGTCTGAGCGGGTGTGCTCCGAGGGGCTTCATGTTAAAATTGGAAAACTGTTTAGAAGTACGTATTTTGGAGCCCACAATTGTCAGTACTTTATCCTTATGCGTAATGAACCCTGTCTGATAGGAAATTCAGCGGTTACAAAATTTATTAGGTTGTATAATATGTTATGACCATTTTCTTGCAAAAGTTTGAAGTCGATTATTTCCTAGCTCAGATCCCTCCTTAGTTCAACATACCTATAGACTAATAGAGGCTTATCGAAGTTTCATCTAGTGCGTATTGCAAAGTCTTACGGCATAGCCGCAATTTTCTATTGCTAAAAACGCGGAAGTGCCCCGATTTTGGCAGGGTTCGAAACAACTCAAGTCACGTCTCTCTGCCAGCCGCTGCTGGTCTCGGATTGGTGTTATTGTAATCTTCAAGGGTCGTAGAAGGCGCTGACACGGCATCGTTACTAGGTAGCAGTGACAACTCATTTTATGAGCTGTTTTTCCGGAAGGTTACCGAAGCCGTCGCCTGAAAAGGCGTCTAAAAAGTTTAGCGCCCGGGGTTTCTGTTGTATATTGTTATAACTCGTAGTAATACGAGATCACATACCTGTTGTCACACCAGGCAAATTTTGGAGCATGCAGTAATTGGAACCTCCAGAAAAATTTAAGAATTAGCAGAATTTTTGATGATCCAATTGAGTTTCAATTTTTTAGAACTTAACCGCCGCAAACTATAAGAACATATACTGTCGTTTTTGCCAAGGTATGTAGTGTACATAACCACCAAAAACAGCTCTTCACAAGATGGCGCTAGCGCGTACTCAATAAATGTTTTGAACTCTAGTCCAGCGGCCCGCAAAATGTAACGCTTTGAATGAAATTCCTTATTGTCACCAGATACAAGCAGTTTCTGATTTGAGTAGGTTATCAAAACGCAACTCATAAGTGACTCTTTACGGCTGAACCACGTTATTTGAGGTGGGATTAATTCGAAACGAATCAGGGTGCATAACAATGAAGGTATACCTCAATTTATATTTTGAACAGTAAAGCTCAGGTGGGGGACGCAGAGTTAATCCTGCGCAGCGTATTTAAAAAGGACGCCTCTAGTGCCCTACAGAAGCATTGTCATTACCAGCCTCTCAGAATTCTCAGATTTAAGGCGTATTTTTGCTTTAGCACCTTGGGATGCCCTCATTTCTTAATTTCTTTTCTCCGATGCTTTAGCCAGAAGCCGATGTGCTACTGGTTCCTGTAATCTACTGTCTCCACCCTACCCAGCGGTATGCTATTCAACTCTGAAAAAAGCATCATTAAAGTTTTAGTAATTTTAAAAAATTATGGTCATAACTTATTATACAACCTAATAATTTTAAACCAAAAAGAACCTCCATAACGTCTTTTTAAATTTTCAACTTTGACAATTTTTCAATCTCACTCTTTTTTATTGGCCATGCATATTCATTACTTCACAGTTATTACACATATTTAAGCTTTCCCGACAACCGTTTCAATCACAATTTCAAAGACTTGATATCATGAAATTCCTGGCTCTTGTGGCTTTCCTGCCTGTTCTTGCGACCGCCGACCGTCCCTTCAATGAGACCGGCAGATTTGAGAAGGAAATGTTGGCGTTGGCTGAGAAGCGCATCAACGACGCCTGCAATTGCGCGTTCTACAGGAAGATCACGAAAGTCATTGACGGCGAGGTGGAGAAATTTAGGATGCTTTTGCTGACCACCTTCCGCATTGCCATGGGCGATACGGACTGCATGAAGAGGAGTGGGGTAGGTTGATTTGAAGACAAGTAAATTGGCTGACCAGGGAGAAGGGGATTTGAAGGGGGATCGACCGGTCGGTGAAGACGAGAAGACCAACGAGAGAAGTATTTATTTCACACAATAGCAGGAAAAGTGATTATGAAGTGACCAGATCCGTGGCTTTTATAGGGAATGAGCGAACTTATGCAAATTTGGGTCTAGTGCCAACGACAAGTTTGTACAGAGTCCGTACGAATCGCAAAGGAGGAAATGTTGGGTTAGGTTTTTGTGTCCCTATGCAAGGATTTGTCCCCATAAGAACAATTATCAGTCTGTTGGAAAAATAATGTGGGCTCGTCGCGCCTTAGAATCACCTATCAGTCTGTCGGAAAAATAACGTGGGCTCGTCGCGCCTTAGGCACCTATTGTCGCTGTGCGACAGCTACCCCAGGCTGCAGCTTTGGAACGTGACTGCGACATGGGGAGACATTTTGCTGCGACAAATCCACATTATTTTCCCGTCAAATCCACATGATTTCCCCGATATACTAGTTGACCGATTTTTGGGGCCACCGGCGCCTTATGTTTTGGTTTGTGAATCCCACCGTAATATGCCATACAACGCATTCATACAAAGAACAATTCGACTGGCCTCTGAGGCAATTCGAGGCAAGAATCTGTCGGGAAAATATTGAGAACCCCGTCAAAGATCGCATCGCAGTCCAGAAAATTAATTGTGTTGCAGCAAAATCAAGCTGCTGTTCGCCTAGCGCAGTGACATTGTACTCATTATTTTCCCGACAGACCGATACTTTCATCAAATCATTGATTTCAGATCGACTGCGCCAAGAAGGGAAGAGTAATCTCCAGCAGACGAGAATATTATAAGGTGGTCATTAAATCATACGGCTTTAAGCCGTATGATGTGAAATTCCAACGCATCCCAAAGTCAGACATGCCTGGAAAGTCGACCACTGTTAACATCAGCTAAATTAATATGTATCTTGAATAAAAATATGCGTAAATATTGAGCTTTGCAAGCGGCGCCTGGGGATTTGGTGCGCGATAGCGGCGAGGCGACACATTTTGGTGCGACGACCCACTGTTATTTTCCCGACAGACTGATACAAACCAAAAATGAATGGATCGGGTCAACTGTTTCCTCACCCGTTTGGGTCAACTGTTCCCGCCGTAGAAAACCGTAATATCAGTATGTTGGGAAAATAATGTGGATTTGCCGAAATGTCTCCCCTCGGGGCATAATGGAGTCGCCGTTTACCCGAGTTTCTCATTGTGATAAGGAAACCGTATTTTTACTGTGAGCGTCACCGCGGCGATTGTATAAATCCGGTTTAAATATCCATCCTCGAGCTATAATTCTCTTCCTTTCTTTCACTTTTTGTAATCTTTTTCTCGGTCGATTACATTACTTTCGCTGGAAAAAACGAATATCTCTTTTTTCTCAAGCTGCCTCTCTTTTCGCATTATCTCTTTCAAGAAGGGAATTTCATTTACAAAAGAAAGTCAGGACATTAATTAGCGGCAATTTCCCCTCCTTTTTCTGGATGTTTCCTTCTTTGTTTCAAATAGAAATATGAGGGAAATGGAGGGATCCTTTATTCAAAATGGGTGATTTTACAACAAAACATTTCTCTAACAATAAGGCGTTTTTCAACGTTTCCAAAAAGAATTTACAGATATGTCATCAGAAGCATACAATATCAGCGTTGATGTTTACAATATTTCCACAAAAAAATGCAATTTTTCAACATCAAAAATGCCAAAAATATCAGTCTGTCGGGAAAATAATGAGCACTCAGTCGCTGCGCCGATCGTGTCGCTGAAATGAAAAGCATTTTGACTTTACGGCAAGACTCATTTTCTCATCCGCGATGCGGTTTTCGTTGCGACAGAGTGCTCATTATTTTCCCGACAAACTGACATCAGACTGTCGGGAAAATAACGTGGAATTCCTCGGAATCGCCCATCGCTTTGCGAGGGCCAGCCTGGGCTGGAGATTGGGTGTGCGACTGCGACAAGGTTTAGACAATTTTCTGCGACAAATCCACATTATTTTCCCGACAGACTGATATCTCAACAAACACTTTGATTGAAACTCTATACAACCAATCACAAGTGATCAAACAATTTATTTCAGTATATTTGCAACAGCCAGAGTGCTCAGTATTTTCCCGACAGAGTGATATAATGCAATTTATATCTGATATACCACAAAAAATGCAATTTTTCAACGAAAAACTGGCAAAAGTATGATCTACAAAACAATTTTTTCTTGTCGCTGACCCTCTCCACACTTCCCATACTCTCTCCTCCGGGTGTTTTTTGGAAGGGTTTTTTTGCTAAATCACATCTTATTACGAAAACAACCCCGATACGTGACGAATATCACCCGGCGTTCCTTATCCAGCCGGTCGAACAAGTTGAACAGATCGTAAACCAAAAATAGCTCTGCCCGCTCTCCGCATCCGCCCTCCTCTCTCGCCCCGTAATTACAGTCCTCTTCCGTTCGAGCCCCCATTCTTTGCGCCCGAGGGGATGGTCCGTGAAGACCCTCCCATTCGAGTGGTGGATGCGGATATAAAGAGCGATCTCCGCTTCCTTTCGCATCGTCATTCCACCCACGCGAAGAGGTCGACGATGGACGTGAAGCAGAAGCCTCAGAGTCTGAGGCCCATCGCGTTCGCGGCGACCGTGTTCAGCACCGTGGCCATCACCGCCTGTCTGATCACGTTCCCGCTGATTCTGCACTACATTCAGACGCTGGAAAGCCATGTGCAGCTGGACCTGGACTTTTGCAAAGTGAGTTGGATGAGTTTTTAGAGAGATTACTGAAGTTCTGGACAAAGTTATAACCACACTTTTAAAATTGCTGTAACTTTTTTCGCTGTCGATAAAAATATGTCGTATTTGGCACCAATATTCAACGGTGTCCTACAAATATTGTGCCAGAAAATTATTTCGGGAAATTTCCCCAATTTTGAAAAAAGTTCAAAAAAAATTGGTCATACTGATGAATATTGGTGCCAAACATGACACACTTTTATTGACAACCAAAAAAGTTACAGCAATTTTTCAAGTGTGGTTATAATTTTGTCCAGCACTGTATCAATCTGTCGGAAAAATAATGAGTCTATCGCAGCGAAAATCGCATCGCTGTCAAGAAAATGAATAGTGTCGCGAGAAAATCAAATTGCTCTTCACTTTAGCTACGCGACCGGCGCAGCGAAAATGTGCTCATTATTTTGCCGACAGACTGATACCCGAGACAAAAAGTCCTGATTACTTTGTCACACCTGGTGGTGTTTATCAGTCTGCCGGGAAAATAATGTGGACTCGTCGCGCCTTCAAATCGCCGCCCATTATCGCTACGCGTAGGCTCTGGCCGCGGGCGAAGATTTGTTGTGCGACTGCGACAAGGTGAGACATTTTGCTGCGACAAATCCACATTATTTTCCCGACAGACTACAGAAACCTTATTGTCAGTCCGTCGGGAAAATAATGACCGCAATGTCGCTGCGCCGATCGCGTCACTGCAGCCATAGGAAACTTGACTTTGCCGCGACGCGATTCATTTTCTCGTCGGCGAAGCGATTTTCAACGCGACGGAGTTCTCATTATTTTCCCGACAGACTTACAGTCCATTACAAGCTCGTTTTTTCCCCAAATAAGACTAGCAAAGTCTTCTTCCCACTATTCCTCCCATAAATCTCATATTTTCAGTCGCGTTCCCGCGACATGTGGAAGGAAATGTTCGAGATTCGCACTGGCAACACCCGGGACTCGGCCAGACTGGCGCGCCTCGTCCTGAACCAGCGTCGTCTGCAGAAGCGCGACACTATCGCCGACTTCTGGAACCGTCGTTTGCACGATATGCAATTGCGCGACGAGCCGGTCGAACCGCAACGCGACTACGCCCATGCTCCCACACCGAACACGTACGAGCAGCCCGAGCCCTCGTACGCCCCACCTCCGGCCCCAACCACCGCTCGCCCAACTTATGACCAGTTCGTGGAGACCCCATCGACTGGATGTTGTACTTGCCAACGAGGTCGTCCCGGACCCCCAGGCCCTCCGGGTCGCGACGGAATCCCCGGATTGGATGGTGAGCCAGGTCCGCTTGGCCCTCCCGGACCACCAGCCCCACCTGGACCGGACCCATTGAGCCTGTTCCCTCCGCAATGCCCGTGCGAAGCGCCGCAAGGAGATATCGGACCGAAAGGCCCTCCCGGCCCCGACGGACCACCCGGCCCGCCAGGCCCGAACGGAGAAGATGGCAAACCCGGAGAGCAAGGCCCTCGAGGACCTCCTGGCTTGCCAGGACAACCAGGACAATCAGGAAGGCCCGGCCCGCCAGGAGAACCCGGAGTTTATCGGACCGAGGTTGGCCCACCCGGAAGACCGGGAGTCCCGGGACGTCCAGGCCCACCAGGACAGCCAGGACCTCCAGGAAAGGCTGGACCCGACGGACCAAGTGGAAAACAAGGTCCGCCCGGCCCACCAGGTCCACCCGGCCAACCAGGACCCAACGGTCAGCCGGGAAGTCCAGGACGCCCTGGAGATGTTGGTAAGTGTTGGATGGGGGGAGAAAAGGGCTTTAAAATGTGCTGATTTATCAGTCTGTCGGGAATATAATGAGCGTCTTACAAGTCTCAAAAACTCCCATTTTCTTGGGTTGTTGTCGCAAACGTCTGTATTATTCTGTCGGGAAAATAATGAGCATTCTGTCGCTGTGCCAATCGTGTCGCTGAAGTGAAAAGCAATTTGATTTTGCTGCGAGACAATTCATTTTTTCATGCGATTTTCGCTGCGACAGCGTGCTCATTATTTTCCCGACAGACTGATACAGGCCTTTTTAACAATAAACCCAACTAATTGGAGGTTTAGAGGCTTGTATACCAAATTTCCAACAGTTTTTTTTAACCTTATTAATTTACTCTTTTTTAGGAGCCCCCGGAACCTGCGACCACTGTCCTCCAGCTCGTCTGGCTCCTGGCTATTAAGCCCTTCAACCTCAATGGACAGCAAATTTTGCGAAGCATCAAAAAATTGTGAAGCTATGAGAATAAACTTCCATTTACGGCAATTTCAAGTCCTCATTTTGGTCCAAAAATTTCTCTTGTGTGACCGACTTTTTCTCCCAATTTTTTGACTGTTTTCTTTACAAAAGAGGGACTTCTGTCCCTCTAATGTCATCTCCGTATTTTCTCCGTTCCCATTTCCGACTGTAACCGTGGGCGATTGTCGGAATCCGGTTCTAATCTCCGTCTCCCACTTAATTCCTTTCCCTTTGTTCTCAATTTTCGTTTTTTTCTGGCGTAACGTCTCCGAACGACTGTTTTCTGACAGTCAAAGGCTTTGGAGAGGCGCACGGAAATATAAATCCACCAAAACGGAATCCGTAGAAATGAATCGCTGAAGACCGCTTTGTTCAGCCGACTTTTCCGTGCACAGCTGATTTCCAGTACTACTTAAAGCATGCAAGTAATGATTATAATAGAAAAAAATGGATTGGCTTTTCTAGATCAGCAAGGTCGATTACCCTGCACCCATACAGACCTCTCTGGAGCATCTCTTTTGGGCCTTTTCTGTATTTTTGGCGGAGAAAAGTCGGTTTTTCAAAGCAATATTATCGACTCCAATTCACAAAGAGTCTACGATTCTCGCCCCATCAAATATTAGCATTTTCACAAAGTGCCTGGACATTTGTCGCGGCGCGCACTGTGCACAAAAGCCCCCGATTTTTTGCACCGTGCATTGACCTTTTTTTGGTTTTGCACTGTGCATTTGAAATATCGCTGCGACGTAAGCTTTTCTCAACAGCGCCGCTGCGATTTTGATCAGAAATGTGCACAGTGCAATCGGCTTTTTTGAGGTTTGCACGGTGCGCAAAGACAGAAATCCACAGTGCGTCGGCGACAAAAGTTCAAGATGCACTGTGCAAAAGCGAAATGATGTCCAGGCACTTTGTGAAAATGCTAATATCAGTCTGTCGGGGAAATAAAAAATCAGCACTGTGTCGATGATCCAGTGGCAAAAAATGCAGCATTTTGCATCCGGGAAGTATCAAAAAATGTGGCAAAATGCTTCCCTCTCCGAATAAAAAACTCCGTTTTGAAGGGCTCCCTCACAAAAAGAGCGGGCGCGCAAATTTGAGCTTTTTTCACTTGCAGAGGGAAGCATTTTGCCACATTTTTGATCCTTACCGGATGCAAAATGGTACGTTTTTTGCCACTGGATCGGTTCCACCACTTTTCACCACTTCAGGGTTCCACCACTTCAGGGTCTTTCAAGAAACGTGAAGGAAAGTCGGAGGCTATAACTTCTGGTATTTGAGGCTTTTCATTTGGGGATTTCGGGGACCCGGATCGACCAGTCAAATTGTTAGAACGACTTGAAAAAACGAGTGAATTTTGAAGTCATAAAAAACTAATGAAGAGGCCGTAATGGGTGTCAAAGACTAGTAATGACAACCAAACTACGACTGGCCAAAAAATGGCTGGCCAAGGTGTCAAAATCAAGAAGGAAGATTTTTTGCTCAGTTTTCAACGCGTTGGAAAGTTATTTCCATGTTTTTAACGTCATCTCTATCGAAACACCCGAATCCGACATTTCTTGGTGCTTTTCAACCGCAAAGGTCTCAAATTTCGAGATCATTTCGGACCGAAAAAACACTAGTTTTCGGGGTAAAAGTGGCCTCCTTCAAACGGTCGCAGCTACCTCAGTTTGCACTTTAAAAACTTGTTATTTCGTAGATAAAAACTAAAGTCTTTTAAAAATACATATTCCAAAAACGAAGTCTCTACGCCGCCTCCGCCGGAAGTTATGGCCTCCGACTTTTCCTCACGTTTATCGAAAGACTCTGTACAGTAACCTTTGAAAAAAAATCATCAAAAAACCTTGTAATACATCACGCAAAATTCGCAACTATTTATTAATTCCACTATGTACAAGAAGATCGTCGTTCAATATTGTGCAGGATCAAATAGGAGGCTGGGGGAGAGGTCGTGGGGGATGAGGTAGCGCTTGCTCCGGAGTGATGGGCACCTTGAACATGTCCACTTCGAGGTTCGGATCGGACGGACAGCCGTGCAAACCGCACTTCTCCTCCTCCGCATCCAATTTTTCTACCGATTTCAGGGCGGATTTCTCGAAAATTTTGGGGGATTTGGCGGATTTTTCCGATTTTTGCCCCAAATCCGAGGAAATGTTGGGCTCGGAGCTCATGAAAGGGTCCGACGTCAGACGACTGGACCGCTGCGCCGCCGGAAATGTGCATTGCGCTGTAGAAGGGATCGTGTTCCGTCGACGGCTCTCCATCAACGCATGCAGCGCACTCATATCCAACGGAGACGGCCTAAAACAACCAATTTTAGGGGGAATTGGACGAAAAATATTGATTTTAACAAAAATAAAGAGGAAATAAGAGCTAAAATTTCTTCGAAATCAGTTTTAGGACATTTAGAAGAAAATCTGAGACAATTCTGCAAAAAAATTTTAAAAAAATCCAAAAATCCAAAAAATTTTCCCATGTGTAATATCGAGCTCAGAAGTCGAATAAATTCGCCAAATTTCCCATCCTAACTATTTAGAAGATCTACAGAATCTAAATCGCAAGCGAAACCCTAAAAAAAACTCAAACTCTACAACTTTTCTAACTTCTCCATGACAGTTGGCCCCGAAATTCCAAAAATCTCGTTTTTTAAAGACTCAATCATCCAATTACACTATCTCAAGACCGGAATAGACTCTAGAAAGCATGTTAACACATTGATCCATCAACAAACTGCTAATAAAAGCAAGAAACCGCATTTTCTATATTATCCATGACATATGTCCGCTAAACATCCAAAAAATCTCATTTTCAACGACTTAATCCAAACACTTCAAGTAGCAAACGCTGAATAGAATCGAACAAACATATCCGTAGGTAAACCGTCAAAAAAAATTTCAAAAACCAATCTTTTCACCAACTTTTATATTCTCCATGACATACGCCACCTAAACTTCCAAAAAATCTCATTTTCGACCTCTTAATCTTCAAATTTCAACTCGTCCAGGCAAGAACAGACTCAATCAACCATGTCCTTGGATAAACCATCAAAAAATATTATCAAAAAAATCGAAAACAAATCTTTTCATACATTTTAATATTACACATGACATACAACCTCTAACCTCCAAAAAATCTCATTTCACCCTCTAAATCTTCAAATCTCAACTCTTCCAGACAAGAACAGACTCAATCAACCATGTCCTTGGATAAACCATCAAAAATTATTATCAAAAAACTCGAAAACTAATCTTTTCACACATTTTTATATTACACATGACATAGACCCCCAAACCTCCAAAAAATCTCATTTTCACCCCCTAAATCTTCAAATTTCAACCCTTCCAGACAAGAACAGACTCAACCAAACATGTTAGTAAATTAGCCAACAAAAAGCATAAAAACAAAGGTTATTTCCACACCAAACACAAGTTAAAACAAAAAATTCGGACAACAACAGACATTTATTTACATAAAGCAACAAATTATTATCAAAAATAGCGCTTACGTATTAGATTCGGTATTGGGGGTCATTAGAGGGGAGTTGGAGAGGGAGTGGATCAGATTCATGTCGATGTGGAGTTCGTCCTTGTCGGCGAAGAAGCTGCGGCTTCGCGAATCCTCGTCCATGACCGAGTTCGAGCGGCTTCGGCCGTCCTTTCGGATGGCCCTCAGCGACTTGCGGCTTCGTTCTTGTTTGTTCAGGTCCACAATGACCGGCTCTTCGTGGACGACGGTGCAATTTTCGACCCGCAAAGCTGGTGGAAAGCGGGCCGGGAAGGGGGCGGGGTCAACATTGTTCACCGACACCTTCAGGCAATGGCTCAGGGGGTTCTCGTGGGCGTACAGTTCGGGAATAAACGGCCTGAAACAAAAAAAAATGATTAAAAATTCGTAGAAAAAATAGTCAAAACCCCCAAAACAATCTCAAATAACAAGTTCCAAACCTAATTTTAAATACATTTCTGGCCTTATTATACCTAAACCATCATCAAAACAACTGAATTTACCTTCATAAAAGATTTTATTATATTACACATGACAAAAAATCTAAAATGACAAGTTCCAAACCTGACTTTAAAATGCATTTCTGACCTTATTACACCTCAATCACCATCTATGATACCAAATTCACCCCTACATAAGATTTTATTATATTACACATGACAAAAAATCTCAAATAGCAAGCTCCAAACCTAATTTTAAACACATTTCTGACCTCATTACGCCTCTAAAAATATCCATACTACTAAATTTACCTCAACAAAAAATTTATTATATTACACATGACAAAAAATCTCAAAGAAACACCTAAAAACCCCGATTTTAACGTCCAAAGGCTTCAAAAAACCCTTTCCTCCTCAATTCACATCACAATTCATCTAAAGCTGACCAATTCTTATGCCAATTCCCACTTTCATTATATTATCCATGACAAAACTTTCAAATTTTTGGTTCAAACCACCGCCACCACCTCCCAACTAGCCAAAAATCCTCTAATAAACCAATATCTCAACCAATAAACCATTAATCAACAAGCTTTTGGGCAATTTTCCCACTTCATTATATTACACATGCCAAAAACTTTCAAACCTTCAAAAAATCATTCCAACCCTCTCCAATCCAATTCTTACCTATGTTCCGGGACAAGTGTGACTTTATCCTTCTTTCTTCGTTTGATTTCCGTCTCGGAGAGCCTTGGATATTCGATCAAATGATGAATTTTTGCGAACCACAGGGCCTCATTCGGTTCAATTTCCTCTTCCTTTTCCACATTCAGGGCCTTTTCATCGATGGAGCTTCGGCGTGAGGAGCGCTCATTCAGCTTTTCCAGCTCATTCTTCTCGTCGAACGGGCGGAATGAGGGGATTGTGATCTCCTGATAGTTGTAATTATGGCTGACGCGGCTCAATTTCTCCTCTAACTGTCGGGTTTCACGCTCAATCTCCTGAAAACATAAACAATATACTGTCCAAAAATTAGATCAAAATAAAAAATCGCGACAAAAAAAATTTGATTATATTATCCATGGCAGTTGGTCCCAGAAACTCACATAAGCCCGTTGAATCCGTTCCCAATCAATTCTCTTCATCAAAAAATCGCAAAAACCGGTCGATTCCAACCGCAAAAAGCTCAAAATTGCCACGAAAAAATCGAATTTCGTAAAATCATTTTCGGCGAGCTGCGCCCTAGACCTGACATAAAAAGTTAAAAATTCAAAGCGCAAATTCATTTATCTACCTTCGTATGGGTTTATACGGCAATTTCATCTATATATTTTATTCTTAATCGCCTAGATCAACATAATTTTTATTGTCCCACCAACTCTTCATGGATAATATAAATTTTCCAATTTTTCAATAAAATTAATGCATATTATTTTAGCCACGGCCTTTCAAATGCTCTATTCATCTGTTTTACCCACTAAATGCCCAGTAAAATCACTATATCCCTTCAAAATTTTCAAAATTCCTTCAGGTCCTCATGGATAATATAAATCATGTCAAATCTCCTCACCAATGCCAAGACCGGATTCATGAGCATGCTCAGCTTCTTGGGGCCTTCCTCCTTCCTCTCCACTTGACTCATTTTCTTCTTCAGTACCATTGGAGAGGGCTTTGGACTCTTCAGAGCTTTGTACTCATGCGGCTTTCTTGGTCTTCCCACCGTTTTCTTCGTCTCGCCCGTCAACCTGAACAGTGCTCGCTTAGCGTGGTATCGTTCGCGAGCTCTGGCGAGCACTTTTTCATCCGTTTTTACGCCCAGCCTCCTCGGTTTTTGTCTTCGGGTGTCTTCGAAGGGCAATGTGAATCTAAAAATCAACAAAAAATCAAACAAAAACATACCCTGTAGGTTCGTGTTCGAGTCCATTCGACAGTTTTTGGAGGTGTTCTTCCACGAGGTCGCAGTTGATATCGGCTAAAAGCGAAAAACATATAAAAAATGCAAATTTTTATATTACACTAGACACCAGTCCAAAATCCGCAAAATCTTCTCTAAAACTGCCTCAAAACAATACAAAACGCTGTCCAACCCTTGCTTACTATAATTATTCATGGTCTTGATGTTATGTTCATCATCTTTGCTCGCTGGCATTCGAATTATTGGCCGTTTTTTGTACGCGACCAGAGGTAAACATCGTGCGCAGCGTTCCGACGGGTCCAGTGTTATGGCCGGACGTCCAAACACCAAGTGAGGCTCTTGATTCTAAAGACATAAAAATAAGCAAAAAATAACATACCAAAATTCCTGAAGCTTTGAGCAGTTCATGTTTTTCGGTCATCTTCTTGATCTGAATTTGAAGCCATTTCTCTTCCTCCAGGAGGTGTCGACGAGTCTCAAAGTAGCGATACATGTTCGTCAGCATCTCATGAGACCCTTTTCTGAAAACGATCAATTTACAAAATTCACAAATCCACTTTTTCCATCAGATTTTTGCCATGGATAATATAATTTTTATGCCAAAAACTATAAATTTTATAACAAAACGACTCAAATAGCACTAAAACCTTCTAATTGGACCTTTTATGCCCTCTATACACCACCACCATCAAAAAAATTAAAACTTTTTCAAAATTTTCATCATAGATAATATAATTTTTGTCCTGAAATCTCAAAAATCTTTTCTTATCTTCCCTAAAACTCCTCTCCAAGTCCTTACGTTTCCTCTTCCACATTCTGGATCTCTTCAAACACCGGGAATCCGTCTTCTTCATCAAATTCTTCCTCCTCCAGCTCTGGCTCCGAGTCAGTTTTTTCGCTTCGATCATCCACTTGCATGACCTGCAGTTTCTTGACAAAATCTCTGGTCATCACATTGTCATATTCGTGTGATCTGTCTTCGTATCGTCGTTTCTCCTCGAACACTTGACACCAAACTTCATCGGACATTTCCGAAAATTCATTCCGATTGCGACTTCTTCGCATAAGGCCGGCCAATTGGATATTGGTCAGTTGAGGTAGCTGAAGCCAGAAAATTACCACATTTAACGACAAGTTCAGCTTTTACCATTCATTTTTAGGCAAAAAATAAAGGTGTTTTCACAGCCCGGCCAAAAATTTTGACCATGGTCACAAAAAAATTTTGGCCATAGATTTGTTGTACGGTGAGTTAGTCGAACTTGGAAGATGTCTTGATCAAAAACTCGAAGAAAAAGCAGACTAAGATTTACAAAAATTGTAGATTTCGGCCTCCAAGAGATCCATTTTTGGAAGCAAGTCCGCTTATCACTAAAACGCTATCCCAACTTTTTTCAGACAGCGTTTTAGTAACAAACACTTCCAAAAATAATCTCTTACGGTCCAAAATTTGCAATTTTTGTAAATCATAGTCAATCTTTTCTTTGAGTTATTGGTCAAGAAATCTTCCAAGTTCGGCTAACCCACAATACAGCAAATTTCTTCCATAGCTATGCATAGCCTAAAAAAATTTGTGGCCAAGTTCAAACGTTTAATTTTTTTTCATTACAATCCCCCAAAAATTCCTGTCCTCACCTGATTAACCCGATATGTAAATCCCATTTCGGAATTGAGCATTTTTTCGAACCTTTGGCACAGATCCCGTCGCTTCACCGTTTCCATTGTCAGCCCGGTTTTCGGGTCCTTGGCCAACCCTTTTTTGTCCCGTTTTTCGTCGGTCACACTCAGTGGCAACTTATTTTCATTCTCATTATCAAACAGTGAGATTTTCGAGGCTGGATTCAGATCGTCGAGGCGTACTCGGATCGAGGCGCCCGCGCGTTTCGCGGCTTCAGCTGCTAAAAAGTTCAACAACTTTGTTTTGGGTATGTGCAGGTGGGAAACATCACTCACTGTGACAAAAAATATAAATTTACTATACGTTTTTATAAAAATTTTTTATCAATTCCGACCATTTGCGGAGAAAAAATTAAGAGCTTTTAGGCATGATGTCATGTACAATATAATTGCATCATCCTCTTCAATTTTCCGCAAATTTCTTTTAGAAAAACAAGAAAAAGCCTTTACAAATCAATAATCTATTCTTTTATGCTCAAAAATTAACCTTGAATCATGTTTAAAGCACAAAATAAAACGAGCTTGACCTGATGTCATGTGCAATATAACTTCCGTGCTTTTCCACTACCACAAGTGCTCACGACATTTACTCTGATCTACCTAACATACCCAGCTTCCTACCGTTTGGCGAAATCGGTGTCACATCGGTGTCGAAGCGGCTTCGGAAGACGGGGAAGGCCGGCCGAACGGGCACCTCGCGCGCCACGGAAATCCCATGGACCATCTTCAGCATGCCCTGAGTTGCCTCCATCGGCGACAAAATTGAGCCTTCCGGGTCCTGAGAGACGTCGACGCGTTTGGAAGAACTTTGCGAATGGGAAACTGTAGACTGGCTGGACGTGTTGTTGGGCATACTACTTGATAAAAATGAGGTCGAGATTGCTGTGGATGTGCTTGGAGTGCAGTTTGTAGAACAAGTGGGAACTCTGTCGCCAGCGGTCTCCGGGAGCTTCCGTTTCTTGGTTCCATTTAGCGGTTTCTCACCATTTTTCTGGTTTTTAACCGGTGAATCACCTAGTGTAATATATTCCGGCGCCTTAGATGAAGTTGAGAGGGAAGCACTCTTGGAGAACACCTAAAGGAGAAGATTTTGAGCTCCATTATCAAACATTTTGCATTTAGATACCCAAAATAAAGTTGAGTGGTAAAAATCTAGGGTCTACTAGGCTAAAACACCTTCCAATATGCATCATCATATTATACGACGAAAAGAAATGTTGATTTCCCCGACCTCTTGGAATGGTGAGACTAAATTTTTGACAAAATTGATATTTCTCTAGACAGATGCCAAACAGAAGATCCAAAAGCTAACTACTTCAAGGTCTCTTAATCCCAGACCTTTCTCACATCATCCCCACCTCGTATTCACCCTAAAATCGGAAGCAACACAACAAAAATCCACTTACTTCACCATTTTTCTTCTTCTTGAACAACCTTGGAGTCTCTGCGGACTTCGGAGTGCCCTTCCCGTTGCATTGTGCGCTGTTGTTCTCTGATTGTAAAGCTGAGGAGGTAGATGGTCCCGGCTCGTTGCGGGTCGGTTGGCTTTTCAGCAAACTCTCAGAGAATATTTGCATTAAAGCTGAAATAACAAATCAACCATAACATTGAGAAAAAAGCGGCGAAAAGAAATAACGCGCTCAAAGCACGTGACATCATAAACGCCGACACTGTTTATGGGATAAAAATATGAGAAAAACAGGAAATCTTTCAAAATTTTATATTAATCACACCACCTCGGAAAGCGAAGAAAATTCTTGCAAAAACTGAGAATCTAGTCGTATTTTTAGGTTCTAAACAGCAAAATCGAAGGGTATACTAGCTTCCAAAATAAATTTTAGACATCAAATTTTTGAAAATAATTAATTTCGGTCTGTTTTTCCTTCACCATCAGCATGATGTCATGTGCAAAATAAAAAGCCCAATTTCCTTGGCAAACAACCGCAAACTCCGATAAAAATAGGTAAAAAAGCCGGGTAAACACGAGTGGAAGAAAAAAATCAATGAAAACCTTTGGCCGGCCCTTCAGTGGCATTGAAAAATCGAAAATTATATTGTACATCAAATAAAAATGCGAAAAATAATTTAATTTTTTAGAAACCGAGGATAAATCTCGGTGTTCTTGCCGATGCGCCACTCGTTTGGCGGGAATTTGGCTCGAGAGTTTTCGGCGAAAAAATTTCGAAACGGAAAATAAAAATTTTGGAGAGCCTTTGCTCGTCAGGCATTTTCGTGGCGGGACGCGAACGGACTGTGGGTGTTCGAAAGGAATTGGATGAAAACTCCGGATTTTCGATGGAACCGAATACTTTCCGGCTTGAACTATTAGTAAAAAACAATTTTGCTTCAAATTGTCGGCGTTATGATTAATTTGTCATCCCTTTTCATCTAGTATAATATAATGTGCTGAATCAAAAGCGGGGGGTTTTTGCCGGCCACATGTGCGGAATTAAACGCTTGTGGGTTTGCATATTGCCCTCATTTGTAGTTGGTAGCTATTTTTACATTTAACAAGAGGTTCCAATTTAAATTTCGGGCCTGAAATAAAGTGTCTGCGGATGGAGTAAAGACCAAATTTTGGGGTGGGAAGGCTACATGTGGGAACCATCTATACTTAACGGGGTATAAAAATAGGTTTTTCCTTGCTGTGATTACAAAAATTTAGAAATGATGATTTTTCAGAATTCCAAAAATTCCGTCATCGCTGACGGGGTTAGTGTAAAATACGAGGTTTTTGGGTCTACTGGATTTTTATAAGATAGCTTATGAGTCGCAAATGTATTCTTTGTCTCAAAAATCGCAAAATTTTACGGTTGCCTACATGTCATGATGACGGATTTTTTGGAAGTTTTCGTAAAAACATGTCATAGTGCAATTTATGAATAAAATTTTTGTTATGTGGTGATAGCCTCTGATGGTGGCATTTATTCTTTAATCGGGGGCTTTTCTAAGTTTGCAGAATATACTTGTCATGATGACGGATTTTTTGGAACGCCATCAAATTTCGCTTAAAATTGCCGTTTCATGTAGTTAACGCAATTCCCACTGTTTTTTCTAATCCAATTGCCCACATTTTTCGGTTATTTCGAGTAAACGTGCAGCATTCTACTCGCCTCTCTGCCTGCCTCCCCCTTTTCCGCACTCTGTCCGCCTCCTTTTCTTTTTTCCCTCTCTTCTCTCTGGCCGGTCTCTTCGGCGCGCCGCATTCAATGACTGCGGAGCGGGGGGAACGGGCCCACAACAAGTCCGGCCCCGACGTCTCTCCCCAACGTTCCCTTTCGCTCTTTTTTTTGTTTGGCTTTTCGGCCGCCGTTCGGCCCTCCAAACGGCGAAAAATATTTATTTCCACGGGGCCCGCACGTCAAATGGGGCTGGCTGGGCGAATTGTCGGGGCGATGGTTGACCAATTTTGACTCTTGTTGATAGTGGATTTGGGGCTTGGTGTAATCAACGGAATCGGGGGAAAAAAAATTTTTTTTTGTCATTGAAAGTGAAAGTCAAAAAAAAATTTTGTTTTTTTTTGAAATTTTGATAAAAGAAGGGACAAATTTAGAGTAGACGTTTTTAATTGTAAGACATGTGAGATTTTGGCTCGTGCTTTGCAGAAATTACCGAGATTTAGAGACCGAAAAGAGGAAAAATTCAAATTTTTTTTATCAATTTTGAAAATTCAATGAATTTATTTTTCCCAAGGCGGTTTGTAAAACTTTTTCTTTAAAAAATTGTTTTTTCCATGGAAAAATAGTGAAAATACAGCTAAAAACACTTTTTTTCTCTCGAACTCTCTCCTTTTTGCCTATTCTCTTCAAAAATAAAGATTCGTGAATATTTTGGCCCCCGTTGCAAGTAATAGGTTAAATTTTCAGCCGCTTTTTAGTGGTTCAACACAATAATTTTGGAAAAAATTGAAAAAAGTCCGGGCATTTTTTGTGTGAAAATGAAACAAAAATTGTCTTATAGGAATTCAGGGGAAGTACTCCAAGTGCGACGCTCAGATTTTCTTTAAATTTTGCACACACGTCGGGCATGGACTAAATATCAATTCCTGAAAGTTTTAGCTCGCGCTTTGCGGGCGGCGCTGAGATATCGAACATTTTTGCCGCCGAGAGAACACGCTAAACGTAGAGAGCGGTCAGAGAGAAAAGCGCTTTTTGTCCCTAACGTTGGCAGTTCCGTGCAGAAAATTTTGATTTTTTGTGGAAAAATTACCCTCTATGGTAGAAATAGCCATGAAACTTTTCGTGCCGAAATTCGGCAAAAAGTCCAAAATTTTCGCCGACTTTCGATCTAAAAATCTAGGTTGTTTCTGCAAAGCGCGAGCTAAGAATCTTGCATGTATCTTAGAAAAAATTATTCTAAATTTGTGCCAAGTTTCATCAAAATCTAAGCGTCGCACTTGGAGTACTTCCCCTGTAAGTCAAATGCAAGACTTCCAGCTCGTTTTTTTGCAGAAACATTTTTTAGCCGAAAATTGACAAAAATTTTACACTTTTTGCAGATTTTGGCATAAAAAGTTTTGTAACTATTTCTGCTCCTGCAAAGCGCTGAAACCTTCATTTGATATGTGGCCATGCAAAGAAAATCTGAGCGTCGCACTTGGGGGTACTTTCCTCGCTCTTGATTTCTGAAATTTTTTTCAACAAAAAATCGATAGCGAAAGCCGTATTTTACCTCATCAAAATTTTCTGCTTTTCAAAGAGCCGTCAAATTTTTTCATGTCTATGTCACCAAATTTTTATCGGAATGCGATCTTCACCATTATTTCAGCTGATTTTTGTGCGTTTCAAGGTCAACATTTTTGACAAAGCGAATTGCATCAAAAAACGGGGCAACTTGAAATGTTTTTTGTTTAATTTTCCGAGGGCTTTCGATTAGATTCGTCTCTCAATCGCGCCTATGGTATTTGACAAAAATTTATCCGTTTTATCGCCGCGGGGAATTGATCAGAAGGTGTTCCAAAAATTTTCATTTTTTTCAATTTTTGGCTTGAAAATTTCATGTTCAATTACCATTTGTATTTTCATAAAGTGCGTGGACATGTATTCTTTTTCGCACAGTGCATTTTGAACCTTTTCCCACACTTGTCGCTAGCGCACGGTGCATTTTTTTTTGCACAGTGCAAAACACAAAAAAGCCGTTTGCACCGTGCATTTTGAACCTTTTCCCACACTTGTCGCCAACGCACGGTGCATTTTTCTTTTTTCGCGCAAACCTCAAAAAAGCCGTTTGCACTGTGCAAATTGCTGCCGCCGTCGCGGAAACTGAACTTTTTCCCACGCTTGTCGCTAACGCACAGTGCAAACCACAAAAAGCCGTTTGCACCGTGCATTTTGAACCTTTTCCCACAGTTGTCGCTAGCGCACGGTGCATTTTTCTTTTGTCGCGCAAACCTCAAAAAACCCGTTTGCACTGTGCAAATTGTTGAGCAAAACCGCGACAAAAAAAATAAAAAAGCTTACGTCGCGACGCGTCGCCGCGATATTTCCGATGCACGGTGCAAAATCAAACAAAAAAGAGGTGAGATGCACTGTGCAGAATGGAGATTTTTAGGAAAACTTGTCCATGCACTTAATGAAAATACTACTAGGCGCGACATAAAGTCCGTAGAAATTGCACAGTGCGTTTTTCCCCCCGCGCCGCTGCGACTTTCCGTTTTTGCACTAGCGACATGCACTTTTCGGCGAGCGCACCCCGCGACATCGGCGAAAAAAATTCTGCGGACTTTATGGCGCGACTAGTATATAAGGTCTGTCGGGAAAATAGTGGGGCAATGTCAGAGTGCTCATTATTTTCCCGACAGACTGATATTCCACAATTTTTTGTCTGGCTAGAGAGCACGCAAAATGAGAGAGTCGGCAAGACAAAAAACGTCTCCCTTGACATTACAATGTCCACAAAAACCAACGAAAAATTCGAAAAATTTTCGTCATGCATTAGCATAATTTGTCATTTTGAAGCATTGTAAGGAAGGGGGGATTGAAAGAGGAAGGGCTGAAAGGAACGGAACGGTGATTGTTTGTGGGCGTTCGAGCGTTCCGTTCTCCGTTTATTTTCCCCCATTCCACTTTTGAATTTCTTGCTTTTCTCTCGAACCAAAATGGAATTGGCTGCGGGAACGTCAAATGTTCAATTTTTAAGATTCAAGGCTGCCGATCTGAGGCAAAAACATGGTGTTAGAGACGGTTAAATAGCCCGTGTTATAACGAGCAAAGTTTTGGCAGATTTTCGGGGGAAAGCCGGCTGTAGATAACGGGGGAAGGGCTATATGTTTTGTCTAGGCCACTTATCAATTGCTGAAAGTTTTAGCTTTCAATTTGCCGCCAGGACCAAGATATTGAACGATCATTGCGGACGAGAGAGTACGCAAACGAGGAGACGGTCAAAGTGGATTTTAAAAGTAGATTTTTTCACATGGCGCGACGCTCAGATTTTGATGAAACTTGGGTCAAATTTAGAATTATTTTGTCTATTACATATGTGAGTCTCCTAGCTCGCGCTTTGCAGAAATGATCGAGATTTTTTGGTTGAAAATTGGAAAAAATGTCAAAAATTTTTTTTTTGCAAATTTTGGCATGAA